TAAGAAGTGCCAGAGAAACACTGTTTATCTGGCTCATGGCATTTGGTTGAAAATTGAAGTGATTCTTAAAACTACAGAAACACAGTCATCTGGCACCAGTGATGAGTCTGAGTTATGAAGGAATTCACATTACATTTTCATTTAGTCTTGCACAACATAAGGCATTTACATTCATTTTCTTCTATGATTCTATTTGTTCCAATATGGGATATTTATGGTTTACTTTTTTTGATGTGTATAAAGCAAACATTAAACTAATCATTCTATAGAGAACAAACACTCCACAGAGGGTCTGAATTCCATTTCTAAAGTTCATGGTAATCACAGCAGTAATTTTAGATTTGGAAGAAGGAAAGTTCATGTCAGAGACAGTAGCTTGCACTGACAAAAAATCCTATTTAATGGTGTATTGTTGGTGGCATTCATTCCCTCTTGACAACTGCTGTGGTGCCTCACATAAAGATATAAGAAATCAGTCCCTTCTCATGTTGGCGATAGACTAAATCTCAAAGAAACAAGAATAAATTCTGGAAATTAATCCTGAAGATAAACTCTTCAATGAAACCTTTCTATCTATGAGTGATTCAGAAATAAGTTCTCTTTGTAACCACTATTAAATGGATTCCTGTTAATGCCATTATTTAATGAGGGTTGTTAGGATGAACATTATGATACAAATTAACTTAGATATGAATTCTCAACAGTTCTATCACACTGTGTAAATATTGAATTGTTAATTTAGAGATTGATTACAGACCTTCATGTCATCAGTAAAGAGTAACAGGACTTTAATTATAACTCTCTGCCTTGTGACTCTGTGCAATGGTCATATTGGGTAAGGACTTTAGGGACATCAGTACAAATTCATTTATAACCAAGGATTGGTTGTGGGTGGTAGGGGGCTATGTAATCTCTCTGAGTCTCACTTTTAGCAATATTGAGCTATTCTTTAAAAAGAAGAAACTCTATGAAAAGAGAGTCTGTTTCCTCTTCATTTTTAAGTTCCTGTCAGTGTTAAGCACCATACTGAAAGTGCGTTGTGTAGATAAATAAATCTTTCAGGAATGCGCTCAGGAATACTGATTTAATACATCAGCTGGGTTAGGGTGGCCAAGTGAGAAGATGGGTTTGTCAATGATTATATTTAAAGAAACTTGAGTATACTCTTCGTCAAAAATTTTAGCTGCATGGTAGATTTACTTGTAGTTTTTTGAGTAACTGCCATATTGTTCTCCCTAATGGCTGCAATAATTCACTCTCCTACCAGCAGTATATAAAGAATTCTCTTATCTCCCCACCCTTACCAACATGTTACCTTTTGTCTTTCTGATACCAGCCATACAGAGTGGAACAAGCTGCTATATCATTTTGATTTTGATTTGTGTTTCCCTGATACCTAGTGACACTGAGCAGTTTTTCAATGCATTTGATGATATTTGTACTTCTTTTTCTGAGAAACATCTATTCGGATTCTTTGCCTGTTTTTCAACTGGACTGATTGCTATTTTGCTGAGTAGTTGGTAGACTCCAGACACAAAGAAAAGAAAAGGACATGGGAAGGCTGATTGCCTGCTATGACCAGTTGAAACTAAGGAGCAGTGCAACTAAAGTTCCTTCATTGCAATCAGAGATGTTCACATCCCCTGATTGGTATCTGGGGCCTCTTTACTCTACTCCCGCTGTTTTCCAGAGTCCACCTCTTTACCAGAGAAATGAGTATCTCCCATAGCTCTTAACCCATGAAATAACTGTATCTTAGAAAACCCTATCATTCGTGTGACTCCTTCACAGCCAGTCACAAGTGACAGCTACCACTCTGGCAGAGCATCTTTCAAAATGAAATACATTAAATTCTACAAACTGAATCAACAACAGCTTCTTTATTTCAAATTCTTGCTAGTTCACAAAGAAAAAAGGGAAATCATTAGCTCCAGCCTGGAGCTTTTTGTCTTTAACTGTTTATTCCTGGATTCAAGAAATCAATTGGAAGAAAATGCCAGGAATCCAAGTCCCAAAGACCACAGTGTTCCCAGAGAACATTCCCTCAATCTCCTGGCCTGTCTTACTTGCCTGCTATGGTGAGTCAGCTATAAATCTAGGAGCAAGGAAGGAGCTCTATGGCTGTGGCAAGTGGTCAACTCAAGTGTATCTCTGCTGTCTTCACGGTGTGGCGGCCAACATCATGGTCTTTGGAGGGAGCCAGACCCACATATTCAAAGTCTGCCTTGCACTTTTCAGTTTTGTGAACTTGGGCAACTCATCTAACCTCAGAAAAGCTTTGTTTTCTTATCTTCGGAATTGTAAGCAGTTATCTCATAGGGGTATTATTAGCACTAAGGTGTCTAATAAATGTAATATGCTTTGCAGTTTCTGATGTATGGTAAAACTATCCATAATGGCTTTTATTTGATGAGAATGATGTTGTTGATGATGATGGCCTTCATTATCATCTTCATCATCACTCAGTGTTTCTAGAAGGAGTTTGGGATGGTGCTAAACAAGTCCATTGAGACCCCTAATTTGAGCAGGCTTTCGTGTGGTATTTTCCAGTTCTGTGGCCTTCAACAAAGCTTGTCTCTGTGTGCTGATCTATGATGAAGGGAACAAAAAGCATGAGACGCTGACTCTAGTACAGTGCTTTTGTAATAATCAAGGGGACAATGACCCCAGTGAATCATCAATCATTATATGGAAATATATTATACACACACAGACACGTGTGCACTAACAGGACAATGTCTCTGATTTATACTGTTACTTCTGCTTGACCTAAGGGAAAAGAGCAACAAAGACTTCAGCCTTTTTAAGGGGTCATGCTCAAAACCCCACTGTGGGAGGAATAAAACTGTCTTAGTTTGCTCATTACTACTGTAGTTAAATTACGTATCGTATTTTAACAAGTTTATGGGCTTTCTAAGAGTAATAGTTACTGTAACAGAAAATATAAACATCCACTTGCTCATTCAGCATACTTTTCTGTTTTATTGTGTTAAATATAGTAAATAAGGCAAGCATTTGTGTAAAACGAAATGTAATCCCAAATACTTTTTTTAAATCCATCAATGTTTAAACACAAAATATCAGGCTATTGCAAACTGAAGCTCTACCCAATTCTTTTTAGGTCAGCAATAATTTAATTTCTGCCGGTCTTAGAATTATATGGGTGCTTACTAAAATGTTAGTCCTGGACCTCACCTGTATTGATGCTGACCTGGTATGTCTGAGGTGGAATCTTGGAATCTGCATTTTTAAAAAACTTGCTACAGGATATGATTCAAGAAGGGAGCCCCTGAACCTCATGATTCTAAGGTCCTGTGAATTCCCACAACAGGGTCTTGGAGCAGAAATTAGGTATGTGATTCCTAGTCTTACAAGTGTCACCCCAGGCCCTGATGCTTTCATGTCCCAGTTATATGCTACTGGAACATCTGGCTAATGAGTAGCTTCAGTACTTGCTTCCTTTTCCTTTGACCTTGCAACTCCTAGAGAATGCAATTCATCCCATGGCTCACAGAGTGCCATTCTGTCAGGTAGAAGGTGAGTTTGGGGCAGGAGGGGAATCCCAGGTCTCCACTGATGGGAAACTGGCGCAGTTCACTGCATGGCCCAGCTACCTGAGCCAGGCTCCACCCCCATCCTAATGGGATTGGCTGCTCTTGCTTCCCTGCCCGCCCTCAGGCAAAGTTTTAAAAGGGCCTGTTCCTGAACACGTGCTCTCTTGGCCCTTCTCTCCTGCTCTCTCTCAGCTCTGCTCCTTGCTCTCTCTTGCCCCTTCCCTCCTGCTCTCTCTCTTGGTTCCTCTCTCCAGCCTCCTCCTCTGGGCTCTTGGCTCTTGGCCCTTCGCTCCTGCTCTCTTTCGGTTCCTCTCTCTAGCCTCCTCCTCTGGTCTCTTGGCTCTGCTCTCCTCTCTCCTCTGCTCTGCTCTATCTTCTCTCCTTGCTAGCTCCTCTCCTCTCTGTTTCTCTCTTTTTCCTTCGCCGCCCCTTCACTCCTGTCTGTAGGGTGTTCCTCAATAAACCCTTTCCCTTACTCCGGTGTCCGGTGTGCTTTGCGACGGCTAACATTAAGATATAACATCCACTAGTAAAATGACACCAACTTGACTTTGTAAGGTACACTGTGTGTAACTTCCAGCCATCTGCTCGAGGTGATACAAAGAAAGGTCCCACATTTCTCGCTTCCGTGAGGAGAAGGCAGCAGAGATAGAGGTTAATGGGATCATGGAATGGGCACTTAGCATTTAAAGGCAAATGACATCATGGATAGACAGGATGTTTCCTTGTCACTTTCTCAGCTATCACGGATTGGATTCCTTTGTGCTTTTCTAGGCCACTCAAGTCAGTCGTGCAGCTCACCGTCTCCTCTCTCTCCCTCTCTGTCCTGTTCTAGGAAAGAAAACAGATATAAAGAACTTATTTTATAACATTAAATAAAGAAATGTCTGTGTTCCTCTAGGGTACAAGGTTTCTTCCAGGTAATGAAGTTCGTCCCACCATATTCACCCCTGACTGCTCTGTAAAATTACACACAGTGAGACCCAGAACTACGTAAAAAGCCCACTCAGTACCACTGATTTAATCTCTGCCCTTTGTCACCACCCTATGGGAGCTCAACAGAAACAAAGGCCTTGATTACATAAACTACAACTATTGTCAATAAGTGTTCTAATCCTGGTCTCTGAAAGCCTGTTGAGATTTTACCTAAATAGGACTTGCATCAGAGCAAGCCCTGTGAATCTGAAAGAGACACACAGGGAATAGTTTTATTGAATTTCTGCATTGCCTCTGCTCTTTCTGGAGCAGAAGTAGCTGGAGCACCACCAGGATTCCTAGCCAAGGTCAACTTCTACCATTCTCCAGGAGGTCTAATTCTCTCTTAAGAAGACTTTAACCAAACTTTCTCATTTGTAGATGAGGAAGGTGGGATTGAGCCAAAGGTGCTGTGCTAATTATTGCCTGTCTTTTTCCCATTCCCTGCCCCGCCCTACTCTGCATCTCTAGGGTCTGATCTTGACCAACTGCTTCCAGTAACACTCAGCCAATGGGAAGCTCTGGGAGGAGACTGGAGGGAAGGAGCCAGTGGGCAGCCAGGTTATTTCTCTCCCTCATTCTAATGCTGCTTTGGGGAACATCTCTGGCAGCAGCAGCTGCTTCTCCTTGGTTCCTGCTCCTACTGGACACTTCATCTCACCATGGTCCCAGCTTCTGCAGACAGGTACCACCTTGCATTCTAATAGGATCACTCCCTCCTTTATAGCTCATTCTCAGCAACTGTATTTTTTTTTAAAGGACCAGGTATCATATATGTTAGACCTTACAGGCCAAGAGGCAAACAACTGTATTTTTTTTAAAGGACCAGATGTTATATATGTCACACTTTGCAGGCCAAGAGGCAAAATTGAGGATATTTTATAGGCACAAGATAGCATTTAATATATAATCATTTAAGGGCGGGAATTTGGCATGGTGGTTAAGGCACCACTTGGCAGGCCCCTATCACATATCAGAGTGCCAGGGTTCATGTCCTGGCTCCTCTCCTGATTCCAGTTTCCTACTAATGCCAACCCTGGGAGGCAACAGATGATGTCTCCAATAACTGGGTTCCTATCACCCATATGAGAGACTTAGACTGAGTTCTCAACTGGCCTAAGCCTAGCTGTTGTTGGCATCTGAGGAGTGGACCAGCAGATGAGGGATTTCTGTGTTTCTATCACTTTTGCTCTGCCTCTCAAACATGCATTTTAAAAAGAATTAAATATAATTATTATAAAATGTCTGAACTATTCATAGCCTGTGGGCCACATAAAAGCAGGCAGTAGACTGGCTGGGTTTGGCACAAAGGCTGGACTTTGCCAATCTCTGCTCTAGTCTCAGGAGCAGTAGTGGCTTCACAGAGTTGCTAATCTCCTGATTGCTTCCCGGGCCCCTTTTCAATCATCCACACATCTATGCCCTGTGTACCAAGTTCCCTGCGTTACAACTCTTTTTAATTGAATCATCTGGCATGAGTTCTCTTTTCGTTCATGGACTTGAACTGATACAATAGGCAATGACTTGTTTAAAACCACATTCCATAAAATGGAATTATTATCCATTTCATAAAATTCTCATTGCATTCTGGTCTTCAAAAATGCATTTCCAAACATGTCTCAATGGAATCATGGAGAGTCATCATTCAAGAGAAATTAAGCTGCCTGCCCACTTGTGTTTCGACTGTCTAAGTTGATGCACTCATGCAGTGCTGAAAAACTAGTAGCCCAAAGGGATACCCACAAATCAGCATCAGGAAGAAGAAACTTAAAATATTGACCTTCTTGACCAACACTAACCAATATCACAATCAAAAGAGATGGAAAAAGGTGCCCCACAGTACTGGGTGGTAGATGGAGGTACATACTAGAAGTGACATTAAAGCTGAACTCTGAGGCCAATTTCTTGCACCAGACTAAGTTAATAATAATTACGACAGTAATGATACAATTCAGTGAACACCTGACACATGCCAGATTCCACACTACACAATTTACTTGCCATCACCTAAACTGAATAATCATTATTTCCTTTATACAATAAGAAAACAGAGGCCCAGGGAAGTCATGTACCTGGAAGATAGCTGCTGAGCCTCTCTGCCCATGTACTAGCAAAGCTTGGATTGCAGCCAAGGATTGGCTAGAGATTCTCCATTGACGCTTTGGTCACATGACTTTCAAATCTTTCCAATTCTCTGTCTCATAGAGCCACCAGATCTCATTATACAGAAAATATAGTTTAAGGCACAACATTAAAATAAGATACTGTGGTTATAAATTTTCTGAAATTTTAGCCATAAAGAGTGAAACTCCTTGGTTATGCAAAACTATAAATGCATGCTTAAGTGTAATTGCATATACAGCATTTCCTGAACACAAGGAATAAAAAAATTGTAGCCCTTAACACTTTTATTTTCCCCAGTTTGGCTTTTATGGTAAAAATGTTTATCATCACTGCTTTTGGATATGAATCTTAGAAAACATGTTTTCTAAGAGCTACATTGCCAGATAACGGCCAAACCCCTACAGCTTTCCTGGTATCTACTTCCATCTGTATCCATATTTCAAGTAGAAGTAATAGAGCAATGGAATAAGATGCTGGAGCCACGAGGAGGGGAACAGTGTCCAGCCAGCCAGAGCTCAATGAAGCAGTCCCAGCTTACTGTTGTATCCATACAAAAGACCCTCTCCTGGAATTCTTCAAGGATTTCAAGAGCTAAAAGCAAGTTAATGTAAGATAGCTAAATATTTATACTTTTTATTATTTGAATATGAGGAAAAAGGGAGTGAAGGAAAAGGAGTGAGAGAGGAAGAGGGTGGGGGGGGGTAGAAGGGGAGAGAGAGAGGAAGAGATATGCAGAAGTAACCACTCTGGGTTAAATATAATAAAGGAGGCATTTGTTGTCTCAAGGATAATTTTGCTAACTAGTAAAAATAATTCCATATTTTTAGTTATTATGTTTATTTTTAATTACCTCTACTTGATTATAAACAAAAATAATTTACTAAAGTAAAACTCACTGAATGCCAGGTCTTGTATTAAGCATTTCATATACATGTCTCAATTAATGCAACAATATTATGAATTAGTTGACATTCCACAGATAAGAAACAGAAATGATAAGCAATTTTCTCAACAGTACATAGCTAATAAATAGCTGAGTGCAGATTTGAATGCAAATAATCTGTCTCTAAAATTCAAACTATACTGTTTCTTCAGATTAACAATATAAAAAATCATAAAAGCTTACTGTAGAATATCTAAAAAATATGGACAAGGGTAAAAAGAATATTTCATGTACTCACACTCTCACTGCCTAGAAATAAATGGCATTTTTATGTGATAGCTATGGTATAATCTTTTATAAACACAATTTAATGTGTGTACTTTGGGTATCCCATGAGAAAACTAATATTTAACACCAGATTTGGAGAATATATTGGGGAATATATTGGAATATATATAGAATATACTGGAGAATATATTATGGACTGACCAAAAATAGAGATTATGTCTTACACAAAATGGATTTCAGAGGTGCATGAAATCCTCCAACATCTGAGTAATGATCTACTTTTCAGAAAATCTGAAAAATGAGGTTGAAGCACATCCTACTATAACTGCCAATCAGGGAAGCCCTACCATATTGATTAAGATACTATGGATGGAGAACAACTATGGCTTCATATATGAGACCTTGAACTGAAAACCAAAAAGGAAATGTTTTGACTTGTAGCTATTGATTTCCTACCAAGTTTGTTTTGTTTTTGTATGAACTATATTATGTAACATGATTTAGAGTGAAAGGAAATAGCTATCTGCTCTATCCAATGAACAATCAAATATGTATCCATCTATTTTCTTTAATGATGATAATTTTCTAAAGTATGCCAGTGTTTTAGGTTCGACTTTCAGAAACAGACCCTGTGATCAAGAATTGAGTACAACTCCCTTTTGGAGGATTTATCCCTGGAAACACTAGAAGGTAATTAAAAAGGTGAGTTAAAGATCAGAGTGCACTGATCTCAGAATCAGCCCTTAAGGCATCTGATCTGGCTGAAAATCCATGAGAGCATTCCAGGCATGGAAAGCCAAGACACTGTGGCAAAAAAAAAAAAAAATCCTACATGAAGGATCTCTGTGAATGAGACTCCAGTGGAAAGAAGGGGTCATCAAAGAAGGAAGTACTTTTTTCTGAAGGGAGGAGGGAACTTCCACTTTGCTTATGGCCTTGTCCAAATACTGATGGAAACTGTGGACTCAAAAGGCTTCCATAGCCTTGGCAGTTCATGTCAAGAGCCTCAGGTGATCACTGACGTCATACATAAGAGTGTTAATTGTTAAATTAACAGCAGGAGTCACTGTGCACTTACTCCTCATGCAGGACCTCTGTCCTAAATGAGTCATACTATGAGATTTAACTGTAAAACTTGTTCTGAGTTTTTTCTTAATATTTTGTATATGTGTGTGAGTGCAAATAGTTGAAATCTTTACTTAGTATAGAATGGTATTTTGTAATATAAAGTAAATTGAAAAATGAATCTTAATGGACAAAGGGACTAGTAATGGGAGACAGAGGAGGAAGTGGAGAGGAAGTGTGGGTTCGGAGGGAAGGTATGGTGGGAAGAATTACTGTATTCCTAAAAATGTACTCATGAAATTTATACTCATTAAATAAAAGGTTAAGAAAAAAAGGACCAGAGTGCAGCCATCCTGCTGGGTAACTATGAGGGATAGTACAGAACCAGCCTTAGAGTTGAGGAAGTTGGGATATGTATTCTCCAACTCAGATTTGTCAATGGATGTGGGTTGCTCTATGGGATATTAGCCCCTCAGCATTTCTTGCCTGCCTGGTCTACTGACCAAGCAAGTTCCTATGGTTAGAGAAATCCCTTCAACAGTAACAGGGACTCTGAGAAAAAAGTGTAGGCACAATTAGTCAAAGAGTAGGAAAAATGGGTGGCAATGGCAGTGTCTGCTACAGTCAGCCAATATACAGTTAAACAAATCTATGCCATCCCACATACATAGAGTCTCATTCAGCTGTGTCACTTAATATTATGTTGACAGTATATCACGTTTCACAATACTGATCTCCATTTATAATTTCCCAGTATCTCAAATGATTTGACAATAATATCTCTGCTCAGACTTTATTCTATCTCTAAGTATTTTGGGGGTAAATTTATCAAAGACTACTTACTAATTACCTAGAATTATGACTACTAATCTCATATTCAAAAGAATGCTTGAGATAGTAGCTAACTTACTCTTTTTTCATCCTGATGGGATCTCAAGACATGAAAGTGACATGACAACTAATTTAATGAATGTGTTATTATTTTGCTTAATTTGGGATTGGGGAAGAGAAAGGAGAGGGAGATTACTCCTGTCAGTGATTTACTTCCTAAATATGCATACAGGCAGGAGTGAGGCTAAGTCAGAGCCAGGAGCCAGATCTCTCATGTGGGTAGAAGGAATCCAATTACTTGAGCCATCACCAATGTCTCCCACAGCCTACATAAGCAGGAACCTGGGTTCACAAGACAGAGGTAGGCGCTGGACCAAGGCACTCAAATGTGGGATGGTGCTGTCTCAGTCCACATTACAACCACTTGCCACGCAGCCCACCCTAGTGCATTTTCTTATTATAACTCTTCTGTTCTCTTTGTTCAGTAGTTCTTAATTAATGGAAGATAGCTATACACCAGGAAACCTTAATGAGTAGTTTATTTGCCCAGCCTAAGTTTATCAAATTTATTAGTCATCTAGTGATCATATTACTTTCAAGAATGAAGAGGTGAACTAGTCTATAAGAAGATCATTAACCAACTTGATGTATTTTTGCCCAAATCATCAACTCAGACTTATTGGATGATTGTTAGTCTTTTGAATTTTGCATTTCACTGTGTAAGGTAAAATACACCTCATTCTACTTCTTATCCTCCAGCAGTTTGGTATGCTTTCTTTCCCACTGAAATATCTCCTAAAGCCTTTAACAAGCTATACTCGATAGCCTTTTCTTGGTTTCACGCTTTTACTTCTGTGAAGTACTCAGGACTGCTAGTGCTAAAGTGCATGGGATTTTCTTATCTCCCATGAAAACTACACTTTCCAAACTCTTCCCCATTTCATTCTCCTTGGTCTCTGTCAGGGACTCTTCATCTCTGTAAGTGTGGGCATCCCCCATAGTCGGCCACCTGCTTCCGTTCTGTCTCTTGTGACCTCTCTTCTTCAGGGACTTACTTTTTCTTTCTTTTAAAAAAGTTTTCATTAATATAAGCAGAACAGATTTCACGTATTTCACAGGTACAATTCTAAGAGAACCATGTTTCCCTTTCACTCTTTGAGGCTGGCTCTTAATGCTCCATTCTTAAGCTTTACCTCTTTCTTTCTTCATGAAGTCTAACATCAATCTGCCTGAAAGAAAATTCTTCCAGGCTTCTTTCAAGAGCCTCAAATACTGTGTGATCAAATCCAAATTTATCCTCTACATTTCAAAATGGTTTTCCTTATTATTCTCTCTTTATCACCGTTAACTCCTTCCTATTCAATCATCTTATAATTCAGTCTCCTTTAATCTGGGTGAAAACCACCTTTCCAATTTTACCACTTCTTTCCATCATGAATTGTTTCTCTGCTCACCATGGTTCATGATGAATATTCTTACCTCTTAGTTTTATGCAAATTAATAAAATGCATGAAATCCAAACTTTAGATTTTATGTTCTGTGTGATGTTGTCAGATTTCTCTCAGTCATTTCAACTGGTGTAACAGTAACCTTCCTCATAGAGTCTTATACAGTCATATAACATAATGTACTTGGAAATGTGTAGCACAGTATTTGGCATATTACACCCTTACAGTAAGTATTTGTGTATGTGTTCATTCATTCATCTCCTTTGATGCTTCAAAAGTAGCCTTTGCTATGAAAACCATTACCAGAGGCCCCTAAATTCTCAACTTTGACCTTTGCCACCATTTGTGCATGTGTAAGTGTAAAACATTTTGCTGTGAGTCCTCAGGTAGACTGCTACAACATAGGAAACAGCTTAAAATGAGAACCCAACTCGATACTTCCATGGATAAAGGACGCGCTAAAAATACTGAATACAGAAATACCCTTTTCCCACTCATACAGCATGTACAAAGATGGGACAAAACAGATGAGAAACAGTGAATACTGCTTTTTCACTAAATAAAGTCAAGTTGTTCAGGTGATAAATGTTTTTCCTCCAGTAATGATATTGCTATATGCAAATTCTCATATAAGTATGAGACAAAAATACATACGCTGTATGATGGTATAAGTATTTGTACTTTTGGGTTATGTATTAGGAAACAGCACATCAGTATTTGTATGCTATCTACAATTTACTAAAATGACAAGTTTACATCTTGAATGTACTTGTGTGATAATGAGTTAAATAGCTTCCTTTGATCTGTCATTGTTTAAACTAATGTTTTTTATTCAAATGACATGGGATTTGAGTTTATTGTCTTCCCTGCGATTGTAATAATCTGAATAGTGATGAATGCTCTTATTTTCAAGATTTGATCAAATCACTGGCATTGGCTGGGAAGTTTTAAGGGAAAATAACATCTGATAACTAATTCTACAGTTTCTGAAGCAAATGCCTTCATAATAATCTGTATAAATCGAGCTTCTTACTGACATGTTCTGTAGGAGAATAATGGTACAATTTGTATTTGAATATACAATTGAAATTGCCAGACTTTAGTGTAATTGATTCCCTTTAGAATGGCATGGATGTCTCCTAGATGGCTGCTAGTGGGAAGAGATTCCTTGCTAGTATGCAATAAATGTTGTACAGACATGGTAAGAAGAGGGAAAAAGGTTTCTTACTGTCTTATAGAACTGGTCATATTTCAATGGTTTCTAGGAGACTTGAAGATCCCAGAAGATACCGCAGAGGCTGTATGGGATGGGGTGGAGGAGTGGGGTAGAGTATGTGTGTGCTACACAGAGTGCCTCAAGGGGGAATACGTAGGGACCTTCAGCTCCCTTCTTCCCTGCTTCTACTTTCACCATGACTCTCATCTGTCTTATATATGGAGGTTCTGAGTGACATAGTGTTTGAAAGTCAAGCTGTGCTACTAAGAAAACAATAATTGAGCATCGTTGTTTTAGGACGCACATAAACAATTTTAAAATGCAGGGGCTGGCCAGCGCTGCAACTCACTAGGCTAATCCTCCTCCTGTGGCACCGGCATCCCGAGTTCTAGTCCCAGTTGGGGCGCTGGATTCTGTCCTGGTTGCTCCTCTTCCAGTCCAGCTCTCTGCTGTGGCCTGCAGTGCAGTGGAGGATGGCTCAGGTCCTTGGGCCCTGCACCCACATGGGAGACCAGGAGGAAGCACCTGGCTCCTGGCTTCAGATTGGCGCAGCCCGCCAGCTGCAACACACTGGCCGTAGCAGCCACTTGGGGGGTGAACCAACGGAAAAAGGAAGACCTTTCTTTCTGTCTCTCTCTATATATCTAACTTTGCCTGTCAAAAATAATAAAATAAAATAAAATAAAATAAAATAAAATGCAGGGGCTGCTAACCTTATTGGTGTCAGTAAACACTTTTATCTAATTTCTCATGTTGCCTTTCACTGGGCGGATCCATACAACTTTGCCTTGAGAATAAAATCAAGGAGCCCCATGGGAGGAAAATTTGTTTTAAGAATGTTCTCAAATTGTACCATGAGTCAGGGATTGCAGGAAATGAAATATGACCTGTAGAAGAATACAGCCCCCCAACCAGAGACAAAGAAAGAAAAGCAGACCCCTCCTCCCAACACAGACCTTGCAAAGTGGCTACTCGCAATTAACTAGTGAAGCAACTGCCCACTGTTATCTTGTCTATGGAGGGAAGAAGTCTTAAGTTCTGCTTCTATAACTCCAGTCATAAATCTGCTCCTAGTAATCTGCCCCAGTATCTCTTTTAGAAACATACTGGCTCACTGACCATTGAAAGTGTGGTCCTAAGTCACACTGGCTGCAATTTAAACCCACCAATGCTGTAACAGCTAAGGTATGACGCTGATGAGCCTATAAATATTGTGAGAAACTTGGGACTGTTGCTCTATTCTCAAGAAATGATTGTAGCTGGGCCCGCTGGCATAATAAGTACTTCATATTCCACTGTCTCTGGTGCCTGTTGAACAAAGACAGTCTTTCCACCTTGGATTTCTGTAACAACCCTGCTTACTATGCCCACTGCAGCTCACGCACTGTTTCTTTTCCAGAAAGATCTCTTGATTGCTCTCCTCCTGTGTGAAGGACTACTGTGCTCCAGTAATTCAGTGTTTACTGACTCATTACTCTTCAGATCTTAGGGAACCGACCTTAAAGTTAACTGCTCCTACTATACCTCTTGGTGTTGAAATCACCATAGATGGAATGCAAAACATATGATTTCATGAACGAAGTCCCTAAACCGTGTGGTCGTTGCCTAGTCATTGGCAATTCTTACATCCTATCCTAGACACTGCAAGTTACTCAATGAGTGAGCACATACTGGTTTGGCCAACCCCTTCATAAGTAATCTGGAACTTTCAGAAATGCCAATGACTTTCATGGGCATTTCTACCAGCCCAGCACAGCTCTAATAAACACATTACCAGGGATTACATGCTTCCTATTTTTGAACTTTGTACTCTCTTTTTGGTTAGTGTGTAGACTATCTAGTTGAAGAAGTGTCTGCAACTGCTTCAAGCTGCATTCTTAAAAACCAGTCAGAATAGCGGGATATATACCATGTCCTCATGACTTTTAACTTAGACACCAAGGCACCTTATTTCACACTACAAAAGTTCACCTAGACCAATATGGATGTGTGCATTTAAAAAGCAAAGTACCAAGAATATTTCTTGAATTTATTTTATCATATTTTAAAATTCTTCCTCTTAACTTCTCCTCTTCTTCACTCCTCCCCATCTTGCTATTCTCTTCCTTTTTAATGAAATCAGTTTCTATAGTTCCATGGAAAATATTTTGAAAACACTTTCCCTTTCTCTGTTTCGAAGCTTTTGGGGGGCCTAAGTTTTTTTTGTTTTTTGTATTTATATGGCCAGCCATCATGCCTGGCACAAAGATCCTTACTCCAATAAGTACTTGTTAAGTGAATGAACAAGAGAAGAAGAGAGAATACTGATGTTATGCTAGGCTGTTGAAAGCTTTCTTTTTTTAAGATCATACCAGTTACTTGGTGCCAAGTATTTGGGGAAAATTCAGAAATAAATGATTTCAAATTGAATCTAGTTAGCTTGCTTTGAATATATGGTTCAGAATTATAAGATGTCAGATTTGGGGCAAAGCCTGATAGGCATCTAACTTTATAAACAGGGCATATATGTAGATAAGGTATTGAGTCTCATACTGAATTTATAAAGAGGTACAGGAGCTATTCTAAGCAGTTTCAGTAGAGCAATGGAAATATGAACATTTGCTCAAGCCAGTTGCACTCAAACCCTGGCTGTTACTCTGAGCTGAGGGCATATGGACAAATGGTACCTGTGCCTTAGTTTTGCCACTGGTCAGTGCTGATGGTCATGGTACTCTCAAAGTGACACTGTGATGAGAGCCTAGCTAAGCCCAATGTCTAGCACATGGAGGTAGTGTTAGATATAATTAACACATTGTCAGACACAACTGCATAGTTACTATGAAGTTAAAGGTGATGCACCATTCTAGAGAGAATTTGGGGACCTCAAGATTAGGAAATTGGAGGAGGAGAAGGAATCATGTATCTGAAGTCTCTGCGTTGATATCCCTCAATGCTGGACCATGTGTAGCATTTGCTTTTGAAGACAGTCAGCTCTGGATTGCAAGGTACAACTCATAAATCTTCCCTTTGTAGGGGCTGGATGTGCACTTTGGGCATTTTGTGGCTTTAGGCAGAATCTATTCTGTTTATCCACAACTCTCTGGGAGAATGCATGTTTCTATGAGAAACCACAGAGGAAGAAAACCCCCTCTCTTCACAGTAAGGTGCATGAACCGCCATTTCCTACCTGAATGGATAGGCAAACGCTATGTCAATGCTCAGGTTACTTTCTGTCTTGTTGACGCAGTCCACGCTCAGCCGCAGGCCTCCAGAGTAGCCACCACATGTTGCAAATGCAAAGATTGCAAAAGCTGGAGAACAAAGAAACACAGGAGAGGGTCACTATTAGGAGATGTTGACCTGGTGCAGCCTAACAGTTGGAGCTCAGTCATTCATAAGGGCAGCATCGAGTTTGCTTGAAGCTGGAAGAGAAAGGTGGAAAAATGGGAGGATCTGGGGGGCAGGTGTCTATATGAATAATCCTGCAAATTAGAGAAATGTTGTTTGGTGCATCATGTAAGACTAGCATGAAATAACTGCGCTTTCATGTGCAAAGAGCTGCCCTGAGACATAAGCCACAAAGACCTCAAAGTAGTGTGCCAATAGGTCAACAATGGATATCTCCAAGTAGGGAGAATTTGGAGTATATCCTTAGTTTCTTCTCTCTCTCTCTCTCTCTCTCTCTCTTTTTTTTTTTTTGGCCTTATTGTCTGTGGTACACACATTTTGTTTATGTTGCTGCAAATTACAGGGCTTCATTATTTTCTTATGCCTCCACATTACTCCACTGAGCTTATATACTGCATTTTCTTTTTCTTTTTTTTAATTTGACAGGCAGAGTTAGATAGTGAGAGAGAGAGACAGAGAAAAGGTCTTCCTTCCATTGGTTCACTCCCCAAATGGCTGCTACGGCGGCGCACTGTGCCAATCTGAAGCCAGAGCCAGGTGCCTCCTCCTGGTCTCCCATGCGGGTGCAGGCGTCCAACACTTGGGCCCTCCTCCACTGCCCTCCCGGGCCACAGCAGAGAGCTGGACTGGAAGAGGAGCAACCGGGACTAGAACCCAGCGCCCATTTGGGATGCCGGCGCCGCAGGAGGAGGATCAACCTAGAGAGCCACAGCGCAGCCCTACTGCATTTTCTTTATCTGCTCATCGCTGATGGCCACTTTCTTGAGTCCATATTTTAGCTAACTGAATAATGCTGCAATACCAGGGGAGTGTAACTAGAAGAGGGGATTCTGAGTCTTCTTGCCACAAATACATGAGAACTGATTTGTGGGAATATGAGACCACGATGTGATCGTTACACAGTGCATACATGTGTCAAAACTCCTCACTGTACCCCTGAACATATAATTATTATCTATCAATTAAAAACAAAATAAATTCTTAAGCATGTTTTTTTTCTTTTAGAATATACAGATCAGTTTTTGGAAAGGTGTGGTCAAAGGATTCTATAGCTAAAAAGATTGTAGATATCCAGGAGATGAGAAGTGTATTTGCAAGCAGAGGACCAAGGTATATTTCAGTCTAAAGCCCTGCTGGTGAATACATCTCTGTCTGGTTTATTTCTGAACCAACTTAAAGATTTTAACTGATGACCAGCGGGTATCATCATTTCTCCTGGGTAGAAAATTAACCTGAGAACCATGCTCTCAAAATTATGAGAAGTATTCTAGAAAGACATGGCCACCCAGGAAAGCAGCCTTAGCCTAGGGTGGGAAGTTGGCAAATCCCCAAATCACTCACATGACAATTGACTAAATTCAGAAGAATTTCCTGATCAATTCCAACATAAGTTAATCCAATGCATTTGCTACAAAGCTCCAGTTTATTTCAATGTTGGAATTTAGCTTTTTGCAGTAGCTTGGGGGTCCTATTGGGACTACTTGCTCACTTTGCACAGTGAGAGGAATTATTGTGTGCAATCAAGTGCATGGTTTCTGGAACATGACACTGGTTAAGATGCTTAACTTCCTCATGCCTTGGTTTTCTGTAAATAAAGTAACATTGATCATCATCTTAAATTTGCTCTGTTATTTGTTCATGAGGTAGATAACCATCATGCACAAGAAGACTGCTGGAGCTCACAAAATCATCAAGTAGAAGTCCAGAAGTTGAAACAGATCCGAGTCTGATTTGGGAAACACTCACAGGATTATTTGCCTCAATTGGCTATTTAAATTTAATGGGCAAAGACTGGACTGTGACAATAACACTGTAAAAGCTTTGCAGGAAGCAGTGCTTTGTGGGGTCATATTTTGGTGCATGGCAGTTTTAAGTTAAAGCCTTCAAAAT